GGATCCTCCCCCTGGCTCTCCCCACCTGGGAACGCTCCCGGATCCTGCCCCTGGCGCCCCTCTCACCCGGGAACGAGCCCGGATCCTGCCCCTGGCTCTCCCCTCCTCCAGGAACGCTCCCGGATCCTGCCCCTGGCGCCCCTCTCACCCGGGAACGAGCCCGGATCCTGCCCCTGGCTCTCCCCTCCTCCAGGAACGCTCCCGGATCCTGCCCCTGGCTCTCCCCTCATCCAGGAACGCTCCCGGATCCTCCCCCTGGCTTTGCCCACCCGGGAACGCTCCTGGATCCTGCCCTCGCGCTCCCCTCACCCGGGAATGCTCCCCGGATCCTGCCCCTGGCGCCCCTCTCACCCGGGAACGAGCCCGGATCCTGCCCCTGGCTCTCCCCTCATCCAGGAACGCTCCCGGATCCTGCCCCTGGCTCCCCTCTCACCCAGGAATGCTCCCGGATCCTGCCCCTGGCTCCCCTCACCCGGGAATGCTCCCCGGATCCTGCCCTGGCTCTCCCCTTACCCGGGAGCACTCCCAGAGCCTGCCCCTGGCTGTCCCATCCCGGATCCTGCCCCTGGCTCCCCTCTCACCCGGGAACGCTCCCGGATCCTGCCCCTGGCTCCCCTCTCACCCGGGAACGCTCCCGGATCCTGCCCCTGGCTCCCCTCTCACCCGGGAACGCTCCCGGATCCTGCCCCTGGCTCCCCTCTCACCCGGGAACGCTCCCGGATCCTGCCCCTGGCTCCCCTCTCACCCGGGAACGCTCCCGGATCCTGCCCCTGGCTCCCCTCTCACCCGGGAACGCTCCCGGATCCTGCCCCTGGCTCCCCTCTCACCCGGGAACGCTCCCGGATCCTGCCCCTGGCTCCCCTCTCACCCGGGAACGCTCCCGGATCCTGCCCCTGGCTCCCCTCTCACCCGGGAACGCTCCTGGATCCTGCCCTGGCTCTCCCCTCATCCAGGAGCACTCCCGGATCCTGCCCCTGGCTCTCCTCACCCCGAAATGCTCCTGACACCACAGCCCCAGCAGCTGTTGGGGTTGTGCTGTCCTTCCACTCTGGGTTTGTAATTTTTTATTGAAACTGAGTGTCCCGGTAGGAAAAAGGCTGAGTGTTCCCAAACCCAGGAGCTGTTGTGCTGTGCTGAGGGAATTCCCACAGCTGGAATTGGGTGTGGGGTGGGCAGGAGCACCCACAGTGGGGTGGGTGAGAGGGATGTGGGTGTAGTAGAGGGTGTAGAACTCACGTGCACGGTGGTGATGTGTAGGACAGTAGAGGTTCCCATGGGTGTCGGTGTCTTTCTTGTAACCACATGTAATCCATTTTTAAAGAAGAAAAGGTGTTTTCATACTCGGGGTCGGGGTTTATTTTCATTTAGGCTGGGCCAGCCTTTTGGGGGCAGCTGGGGTTGGTCCTTGGGGGTTTTCCTGGAGGTCGTTGGTTCCAAGTCCAGCCGTGCTGCTGCTCCTGCTCCGTGTGTGTGGCACCACTCCAGAAACAGATCAAAGCTTGCCAGAGAAAAAAGAGAAAAAAAGGAATTTACTTGTAAAAATGCTGGAAATGATTTTGATGACCTCTTTCTTTTTTCCTTTGTAAAGCTGTAAATACTTTATTTTTGTTTTCTATTCTTAATGCGGTGTCATATTGACACTTTTTTAGATTTACAGTCAGAAAATCCTCCTCATCGTTTCTCATTTTTTAAAAGGGGATTTCAAGGAAGCAAATTTTTTTGCTCGCTAGCAGTGTAATAATAGATGAAATTCCTAAACTGGGTTTGTACAAAAATGTTTTCAGTAAACAAGTGGCAGTTTGTGGATGCATGTTGTTCAAAAATGTCCAAAGAATAATGTGGTACAAATGTTTTAAAGAACAATGTGGTACAAACATTTTTTTCAAAGACTTAGTGATGATCATCTTAGTTCACACAAGGGAAAAAGCAAAATTCTTTAAAAAGAAAAAAAAAGTTTAGGGGGGAATGTAATGAAACTCATCTAAGCTAAATGTGTAATCTATTTATAAAATCACAGTATATATTCTATTTTTATCAGAGGTTTTTAAAGTGCAAACAGATTTCTGTTGGCAGATGCAATCATTCCCTTGTAAAGTCTCTTCTGCTCTGATGGGACCCCCAAATTCTCTGATGGTTCCAAGAGTCAACGTGGAAATAACCGGGACAGGTTTGGCTGTGGAGCACTCACAGCCTCCAGGGGAGGCTGCAGCTTCAGCATCTCTTCTCCCTCTGCAGAGTGGGTGCTGTGATTTTATTCCCTTCCCTGTGATTTTATTCCCTTCCCCTGACTGGGAGGATGCTCCTGGAAGGGGTCAGGGCCTCCCGGATCCCAGGAGCGTGGCAGGACAGGGGTTAAACTCTGCCTGGATAATAAAAAATTAAATACAAATTGTATTTGTACCTGTAGAAATTGGGATTAACTCAACAAAACAAAACAGCAGATGGGAATCGTGCCTGAATATGCATCCAGAGCTGCTTCTAAAGTGAGATTATATTAATTTTCCTTTCCATGATCATTCCTGCCAGCAAAAACACGAGCTGGCTGTGGAAGGGCCGTGGGTGCTCCCAGAGCTGTTCCTGGTGTTTCCCTTGGCTCTGGGAACACGGGGAGGATGTTTGTCTTGGAAGAGCTGCAGAGCTGGGAGGTTTCATGTTCGAGTGCTTCATTTTAGAGCCGAGTGTTTAAGGAGTGATTTATCCCTGCTAAATTAAGACATCCCAGTGCTTGCATGAGGCAGGGATACCCCAGTGAGGGTTTTCCACCCTTGCCTTCAGGACTTTTGGGGTTTTTGTCCTTCTGCTGGGCTGCAGGGGAGCACACAGCTTTTAAAGCTCTTTGCCTTCGGGGCTGCCACCCAAACACTAGATTTTAAGCTTTTTAGTGGGGTGTAATTTGTGTCCCTGTGAGTTTTAACCGAGAAACAAAATTACCAACGAGACAGCAGGCGGTGTCCTGGTGGGAATAACAGCCGAGGTGAGCTGGGAGCACTGCCTGCCAAATTCTCCGTGGGAATGGGATCCCAGCCCCTCTCCCTGCAGGGGGAACACTCAGGGCTTGGCCAGGCCCTTGGCAGAGCAGTGAGGAAACACTTGAGCCTTCCCTTCTGACTGTTTTCATGTGAGTTCAGTGTCCTCAGACCCTTCTGCCTTTGCAGGAGCCTCTCAAAGCTTCTCTTTTGAAGGAGCAACAAGTTGTGTTTAAATGTGGGTATTTGCAGAAATCACCATTCCCCCCTAATCTGAGGCACTCCAACAGTGAAGCCCTTGGGAAGGGGGTTCTTGTTGGTCTGGCCAGCTCCCTTTTTTTGGAAATTAGGATGTTAAAGCTTAAAACAACCCCTGGGGTGGCTTCAAACCAGTGTCATCTCTGTGGCAGAACAGCCCAGACCATGGTGCCACAAACCCAGTGGAGCTGCCCAGACTGCCAGCCTTGAAACCCCAAATTTCTGTTTGATTGGAGAGGGTTTGAGGGTGGTCCAACCTCAGTCACTAAAACACACTCCTTTGTGTAACCTGGTTTCACCAAATAACTCACAATCCAGTCCCTAAAACACCTTCCTGTGGTTAAAGTAAATGTAGCAACCTTCTGCCAAAAAAGATAATTTATTATTTATCGTGTTCGAGTGGGGGGTATTGATGCCTCTTCCCTCCTGCTGTGTCACTTCTTGTCGGTTCCTCTTTAGGTCACTTAAGAGTTTCTTTTATCCCCACGACAACGAACTGCTGCTGGTGTGGGAACGCCCCTGGTTACCGTCCCCGTGTAAATACTGTGCTTTATATTCTGTATATTAGCTAATTTTAATGGAAAAGACTGGACTGATGATGCTGTTGGATGACCCCAGGTGGGGGGCTGGAATTCTGTGCTGGGAACCCGCAGCAGCTGGAATGGGACACCCCCAGTGGATTTGGGACCACGAAACGCTTCGAGAATCCAATCCACGAGGAGGAGCCCTGAGAACTCCTTCAGCCAGAGCCAGAACCGCCCGCCCTCCTCTGAGCTCGGCGGATTTGCTCCATTTTCCTTTTTTTAGTGCCAAAACCGACCCCACCGTCCCCTGCCAGGTGTGCTGGCAGCTCTCCGTGTGCTGCTGCGGTGTGCAGCCGTGTCCAGCCGTGTCCAGCCGTGTCCAGCCCGTGTCCAGCCGCGTCCAGCCCCTCCGTCCTGCCCGGGCCGGGGCTCAGCCCGCGGAGCCGGACCTGCCCATCAAACAGGTGCCAGTCGGTCTCTGGTGACGATGAAAACCACAAAAATCTATAAAATAAATACCAAACTCCTGGTTAAACGGCTCTGCGTGTTAATTCTCGGGGTGGAAAACGCCTCTAAAGCAGAAGGATTTGGGTCTGGGGAGGGAGGGACCACCCCCGTTTCTGAAAATCCCGCGTGATTTGGGGTCCTAAAATAGCCCGAAATCCCCTCAAAATTAGGGTCCTTCAGCTGCTGCTCTTGCAACGTGACTCTCCCAGGAAATTAACGTACCCCCTGCACACCTCAGCCTCCTCCTGGCCCTGTGCCCCAGCCTGGCCCCACCTTTGGGTTAAAATCACCCCTTCTTTGGTAATTCTCAGTTCCCAAAGAGATTCTCAGCCGCTTTTCTCTTTTTCCCCGCCTCGGTCCTCTCTGGCGGCTCGGACCCGCCGGGCTCCGGGCGCAGTGCCAGCCGCTCCCTCTGCTCGGCTCGGTTTTGTTGTTGTTTTTCCCGAATTTCCCTTTTTTAAATGATTTTTGGCTCCTTCCCGCGCTCCGCCCCCTCCCACGTGCCGCGCGCGCCACCGCCCCCCGCTCCGGCCGCAACCATCACCGCGCGGGGGGGGACGCGCCGCTGGGGACACCCCACGGGCACCCCGCGGGCGGGGAGGAGGGACACGGCCCGCACCCTCACACACAGCGAGCGACGGGCGTGGGGCCGCTTCTCCAGATCGCTGCTCCCGGTGATTTATTAATTTATTAATTAATTGATGGTTGTGTCTTCTCCCCGCCCCCCCTCCCCCCGCGCGGTGGGTGGTGGCGGCCGCGGGCCGGGAGCGCGGCGGGGCCGGGATGTGGCGGCGGCTGCGGGTGCTGAGGGACTGCGGGTGAGCGCGGGCTCCGTCCCTTCCCCTTCCCCTTCCCCTTCCCCTTCCCCTTCCCCCTTTCCCGCACCGTCCCCACGTGTGGGGCGGACTCGGGCTCCGCTCGGTCCCGCTCCTGCCATCCCCGGAACCGTCCCGCTGCCAGCCGCAGGCACTGCCAGCCCTCAGTTCCCCTTGTTCTCCCCTCTTTCCTCCTTTTTCTGCCCTTGTTTCCCTCGTTTTTCCCCTTTGTTTTCTCCTTTCCCACCCGTTTTTACCCGTTTTCCACAGTTTACCCCTTGTTTTCCCTTTTACCCTTGTTTTTACCTCTTCTCCGCTGCTTCCTCTTGGTTTTCCTACTTTACCCCCTTGCTTTCCCCCTTTTTTCCCTTGTCTTCTCCTTTTCTCCCTGTTTTCTTTTTTCTCCCCCTTTCCTCTTCCTTTCCCCCTTTCCCCTTCGTTTTCCCCTTTTCCCTTCGTTCCCCCCCTTTCTTCTCGTTCCCCCCCTTTCCTTCCCGTTTCCCCTCCTTTTTCTCCCATTTCCCCGTTTTTCGGGCATTATCGCTGAGCTGCACAATGCAGCCCGCACGTGGGGCTGGGCATGCCAAGGTCCGGCTGACCCCGGGCAGTTCGGTGCCCGTCCGGCTTCTGCCCCTGGACTTTGCCAGGAGCCGGCGGAGCGCTGCGGTGTTGGGGCAGCCCGGCTCGATCGTTCCTAAAAATCGATCCTGTGCCTCGTTCCTTAAAAATCCATCCCGTGGCTCCTTCCTTAAAAATCCATCCCGTGGCTCCTTCCTTAAAAATCCATCCTGTGGCTCCTTCCTTAAAAATGCCTGTCCCAGCGCTTTTTGCTGAGCGAGAGAAGGGGTGGTGGGCTGGGGGCGAGCGCCGGGCTCGGCTCCCGGCTCTGGCATCCCCATCCAGCGGGAGGGATGGAGCAGGGGCTGGTTTGGGGGGACAGCCCGGGAGCGAGGTGTCCCCAGGGATCGAGGTGTTCCTGCCATTGAGGTGTTCCCAGGGATCGAAGTGTCCTTGGGACCGAGGTGTCCCCAGAGATTGAGGTGTTCCCGGGATTGAGGTGTCCCCGGGGCTGAGCTGTCCCCCGATGCTGGGGAAGGAGGGCACGGCAGAATTCCAGCGTTCCTGTCCTGCCCTGCCGCAGGCGGAGATGGCAGCACCGCCCGGCCATCCAGGTGACCAACGAGCCCATCCTGGAGTTCAAGCCGGGGAGCCCCGAGCGAGCAGCACTCCAGAAGGTACCAGTGCCAGGATTTGGGGATTCTGGGGCTGGGAGGGCCTCGGGCTGTGCTGCAGGTGCTGCAGGGCAGCCCCAGGCTCTCCCTGGTGTGACAACCCCATCCTGCCCAGCTCCTGCTCCTTCCCTGTGGGCAGCCCATGCCCGGAGCCTGTTCCCTGTTCCCTCAGCCCGTGGGAAGGGGGATGGAGGGCAGCTGGAGCGGGTGGGAGCTGCTCCCACCGCGTTCTCCTCTCTGCCAGGCCCTCGCTGACCTGAAGGGCAAGACCGAGGAGATCCCTTGTGTCATCGGGGGGGAGGAGGTGTGGACCCCCACGGTGAGGTACCAGCTCTCGGTGAGTCGGGGGGGTTCTCATTAAATGGGGGAGAATGGAGCAGGGGGATCCCTGCAGGAGGATCCTGGGACTGGTTCCTACAGAGCCTCTTCTTCTCTTCCCAGCCCTTTAACCATGCACACAAGGTGGCCAAGTACTGCTATGCCAACAAGGTGAGTGCACCTCTCTGTCCCCCCTCTTCCTGGCTGGTTTTTTTTGGGGAAGCAGCAGCACTTGTCCTTGGTTTAGCAAGTGAAATGAATTTTGTGAGCAGGGAGGCTTCAGGAGCCTTTCCAAGCCCCAGGGATCCTGGAACAAACCCACCAGGAGCTGCAGACTGGGGGTTGTGATGGCACCAGTGGTCTGTGCCTGGGGTGGGTGACCCCTCACTTTTCCTGGCGACCTGGTGATGGAGAAGAACCTGGAGAGGCTCCTCCTTGCTGCCTTTTCCCCTTTGCCTCCACAGGAGCTCATTAACAAAGCCATTAACGCTGCCCTGGCAGCGAGGAAGGAGTGGGACCTGAAGCCTGTGCAGGACCGGGCCCAGATCTTCCTGAAGGCGGCTGACATGCTGAGCGGCCCGCGGCGAGCAGAAGTGCTGGCCAAGACCATGGTCGGGCAGGTAGGGGTCTTTGAACAGCCAGGTGTGTGCTGAGGAAGGCAGGAGCCTCCCCTGAAATGGAAAATGTAAACCCCTCCCTCTGAAATGTTATAATTTTGAAATTACAAGGCTCTCAGGGAAAGATATGGGAGCAGGAATAACAGTTCTTTACTAGAAAAACTGAAAAAAACCCAAATGTACTAGTACAAAAAAACCCCAAAACAATAAAACCAAAAAAACTATTGACAGAGTCAGACTAGGCCCTGACCCCCGTGGGTCAGGGTGGTGGCACCAGTCCCATTCCATGGTGGCTCAGCCCTCCTGCAGTGCCAGGGGTGGTGCTGGTGGAGCAGGGATCCTGGACAAGGGTGGAGTTTTCCTCTGAAGCTCCAGGGCTGCTGGAGATGGGCCTGGTCTTCCTCTGGGAATGCAGGGGAGAAGAAAGCTGCTCCTCTGGGAATGCAGTGGGAAAAAGCTGTGCTGGTGTTCCGAATCTCAGATTCTATCCAGGTAGGAATGCTTGGCTCCTCCCCTGGGCAGAGGATCTCCCAATGGGATGCTGGAATTTGATCAGCCATGCAGGGACACTCAGTGGCCATGGACAGAAGAGATCTCCTGGAGGGAGGATTGGTTGTGGAAGAGATAAAGAAAACTGCCCAATGAACAGAATATCCTGAACATCCCTCAGACCTCCTGTGGATGGGAGAGGGAGCTGGGAATGCTCCCAGCTCATCCCTGTGTCTTAGATTGGAAATGGGGCTGTGTATTCTGTTCCTGTCTGTGGAGCAGTTCTCTGCTGTTAACTGGGTTTTGCCCCACCCCTAACAGGTTAGAATAGAATAGACACCCCCATTTCCAGCCTAAGACAGGGGTGCTGGAGAAGCTGGGCTGAGCAGGAGGAGCAGGGCAGGAGGGGCTGCTAGGGTGGTTTTTGGCCGTGGGAATGGCTGGAGGTGCTCTGTGAGGGGATCCAGGCTGATCCTCACTCCTTGCTGCTCCTGGGAGCAGGATCAGCGTGAGGCTGTGCAGGAGGCCCCATCCTTGGGAACCGAGCTCGGGAGGGGCACCCACAGCCAGCACTGCACCACTGCGGCAACCCCCCATGCACCACTGCGGCAATCCCCCATGCACGACTGCTGCATCCCCCATGCACCACTGCTGCATTCCCCCATGCACCACTGCGGCAACCCCCCATGCACCACTGCTGCACCCCCCCATGCACCACTGCTGCAACCCCCATGCACCACTGCTGCACCCCCCATGCACCACTGCGGCAACCCCCCATGCACCACTGCGGCAACCCCCCATGCACCACTGCTGCATCCCCCATGCACCACTGCTGCATCCCCCCTTCCCTCTCCCTGCAGGGCAAGACCGTGATCCAGGCGGAGATCGACGCCGCCGCCGAGCTCATCGACTTCTTCCGCTTCAACGCCAAGTACGCGCTGGAGCTGGAGCAGAGCCAGCCCCTGAGCGTGGACATCAGCACCAACTCCATGGTCTACCGGGGGCTGGAGGTGAGCTGGGCCCCGTGCCCCACGTGGGTCACGCTGGGGGACAGGAGGCTGCCCGTGCTCCCTTGTCCCCGTGCCTCCGCAGGGCTTCGTGGCCGCCGTGTCCCCCTTCAACTTCACGGCCATCGGCGGCAACCTGGCGGGGGCTCCGGCGCTGATGGTGAGTCCTGGGGGACAGGGGAGGGGACAAGGGGACAGGGCAGGGTCACAGGACAGGAGGGCAGGACAGGGTGGTAGGACGGGGGCAGGGTCACAGGGCAGGGTCACAGGAGAGGAAGACAGGACAGGGCAGGGGGACAGGGACGGGACAGGGGATGGGACAGGGGGACAGGGACGGGACAGGGGAATAGAGCAAGGGGCAGGACAGGGGGGCAGGGCATGGGGACAAGGGGACAGGACAGGGGGACAGGACATGAGGATGTGGGGGCAGGGCACAGAGACAGGATGGGGGCAGGGGGATGGGACAGGGGGACAGGGCATAGGGACAAGGGGACAGGACAGTCCAAGGAAAGGTTGGTAGAGGGATCCCAGCCCTCAGGTTCAGCTGGGTTGGGGTGGGCAAGGAGGGAGCTGAGCCCCCCTGGGGCTGTTCCACAGACACACCTGGGGCCTGTTGGACCCCTTGACCCAATCAGCATTTAGGCTTTAATTAAAACACCCCAGTGTCTGGATTTCCAGTGTGATGGGAAGTGCTGGAAAAGCACAAACTGCCCAGACCTGCCCTTCTGGGGTTTTTGTTCTGAAGCAAGGTGTCTTTTCCTTGGCAGAGAAAACTTCCCTGGGTTTGGGATCTGGGAATTAACACAGCAGGGGTTTGATTTCCTACCTGGGCTCAGGGTGCTGTCGGGACATGAAAGTGTAACCAGTTTGTAGCTGCTCAAATTCCTCTGGGATGACACTTTCTGGGTGTAGTGGGTGTGTTAGGAAGGCAAGGGCAGGCCGTGGCTCTGCCATTTAGCACCAAAGTGGCAGACAGGAGAGCCCAGAAGGTCTGAAAAAATAAAATTTGAAAAAGGTATTGGTAAAAAGCATTTCTGCACATTCCCATTTGTGTCCCAGCCCATGGAGCACAGGAGCTCCTGCCTCTGCAGGGTGGATTTTGGGGAGAGACTGTAATAACCTGGTGAATTTGGGCCAGGAATAATTAATTAATTGTTGTACTGGGGAAGGAGAAAAACCAACAAATTGTCCTCAGCTCTTTGCTAATTAGGTTCAAATTTCCTGCTGGCCCCAAAGAGGCTGGGGAGCTTTTAATTTGGGAATACCACATTTAAAGCCATATTTGAGTGAAGCATTTGAACCTGTCACTAGGGCAGGAATGGGGGGGGGACAAGGAGAGGGTGAAGCCACCATGGAGCTGGGAAGATTTGTGGGGAGAGAGGTCCCCAGGATCTGAGGGACACCCTTGGCTTCGGGGGATGTGGGTGAGCTCATCCCAGAGCAGGTGAGCCCTGCTGGGACGGGACAAACCCCTGCTGGCAGCTCTGAGTGGCAGCTGGGGACATCCCTGCTCGGTGTGGCAGTGAATTCCCCCCGGGATGCTGCAGGGGGATGGGATCCCTGCCCTGGACCGGGAGCAGAAGGCAGCAGGACATCAGCAGGTGCCTTGGAAAGCTCAGCAGCAGGGGGCACCTGGAATTAAAGTTAGGAGAAAACACTGCTCAATAGGGGAATGTTAATTAGAGCCCCAGTGAAAACGCTGCTCAATAGGGGAATGTTAATTAGAGCCCCAGAGTTTCTGTCACCACGGGGGGTTAGACCCTGCAGAGGTGCATGGACTGACTCCTGGGAATGGGATTTCCTCGGGATCAGAGCAGGCCAGGCTGCTGGGATCGCTGTGTCCAGCCTGGCCTGGATTTCCCAGCTGCCTGCAGCTTCTGCAGGGTTCTGTCAGCGTTTGGAGTGCAGGGATTGGAGGGGCCCAGGGAGGAGCTGTGCCCAGGGGGAGCTTTTCCTGCACAGCAAATCCCTGGAAAGCAGGAGACAGGAGTCCAAAACTCCGTGCCAGGGCTGTGACCCCGTGCAGGGGAGGCCGAGCTGTGTGACAGGGACACGGGGCGGTCACAGGGAGCCGTGGGGCCCAGGGGTGGGGTGGCACAGGGCCAAGGGGGTGTCACCAGTGCAGTTCTCCAGTCCCTCGTGCTCTTTGTGCCTGGTTAATCCAGCTGGAGGTTTGGTTTCACTGCCCTGCTGGCCCTGCCCAGGGCTGGTGGCAGTGCTGGTGACATCGGGAGCACATTCCCGTGTCCTGGGGCAGGAAGCAGGGCCGTGTTTCCAGCTCCTCTGGGGGAAGGCAGAGCTCAGCCCTGGAAGGGAGGGTGGGGAAGGCTGGCACAGCCACCTGGTGAGAGAAGAGGGGGGGATTTGTGCCCTCAGCTGAGCAGGGCACACCCAGTCCTGCCCAAACAGTGCTGGGTGAAGGTGCTGCTGCCTTTTTCCCAACCTGGAAATGAAACTCGGGATAATTTTAGTAAGGAGGCAATACAAGAGCAGATCTTTGTTTGAAGGCCTTCAGGGGCAGTTATGGAAGGATGTCCACAAAAGCCCACCCCCACAGGGATGAGGACATTTTTATAGGTTTTAGGAAATCGGCATAATTATTAAAAAGCACCAATTGGGAGGACAAGTGGTGATGCAGTCCCCCCTGGTCCCCCCTCAGCACTGGCTGTGCTCTGTCCATGAAATATCCCAAAGAGTTGTTGTCACCTTTGGTTCCCAGGAAAAACCAGGACAGCACTGGGGCCTTTACCCCCTGGGGCTTGGAACTCTGGAATTTTTTTTTTTTCTTGCTCAGGAAAGGCCATGGGAAAAGTGCTGGGAAGTGTAGTCACTAATACAACAGAGCTGCACATACGTGTGTGGAGAATATATGGAATAACAGGGAACACAGGAAAGAAATAAAGGCTGCGTGCCCCTGCGAGCTGCCACCGCTCTGGGACAATGTTCCAGGAATTCAGACATGGCTGCTGAGGTGTTCTCTGCCCCCAGGGGAACGTGGTGCTGTGGAAGCCCAGCGACACCGCCCTGCTCTCCAGCTACGCCGTCTACAAGATCCTGCTGGAGGCCGGGCTGCCCCCCAACGTGGTGCAGTTCGTGCCCTCGGACGGCCCCGAGTTTGGGGACACTGTCACCAGCTCCGAGCACTTCTGTGGCCTCAACTTCACCGGCAGCGTGCCGTAGGCTGGGGACAGGGGACAGGGGGAGGACAGAGAGGGGCTGTGCATTGGGGACAGGGGCATGGCAAGGAGGGACAGGGGACACGGGACAGGGGGAGGACAGGGAGGGACAGGGGCAGGGCAGGGAGGGGCTGGGGACAGGGGACAGGGGGAGGGCAGGGTGGGGCTGGGGGCTCCTGGGCGCTGGGAAGGGCTGCTGCAGCTGGCAGGATGTGGTTGCACGGTGACATCGAAACAGGGGGTTAAAAGTGGTGACAAACAGGGGCTGAGCTGGGTTTGGGTGCTGGGGGAGAGTGGTTTTAGCTCTGGGGCTGAGCTCAGGGCACAGGAACAGGCAGAGTAGCAGTGACACTCCCAGGGGTGCTTTGGGTGCGTTTGCACCCTGGGAGGGTTTGGTTTGCCCCCTGGGCTCTGGCTGTGTCCCCTGGGGTGTCAGAGGTGCTGAGGGGTCCCTGCAGGGGCTGTCAGACCCTGGGACCCCTCCCCAGGCCAGGCCAGGCCACGCTCGGGTGAGCAGGGGAGTTCAGGTGGGGAGTTCACAGCTCGTGTTGGTGGCTGAGCCTCCTGCTGCGAGGCCATTTCCATTTTTATTGTTTTCACAGCCAGGCCTGAAGGGAAGGGGGAAAAGGGGAGGAGCAGAAACTTCTGGATGCTCACTCCGTGCCTTTCCCTGCAACAGTTTATCTTTAAAGCCATGGAGCTGCTGTGGGGCCTTTGTTTAATACCTGTGCTCCCAGTCCCACTTCCCTGTGCAGGCCATCCCTTTTTTGGGGGGCTTTCCCATCAGGGCACCCCTTTTTTTAGGGTGTTCCACATCGGGGCATCCCTTTTTTTGGAGGGTTTCCCATCAGGGCATCCCTTTCTTAGGGGGGTTTTCCCCATTAAGACATCCCCTTTTTGGGGGGATTTCCCATAAGGGCATCCCTTTTTTGGGTGATTTCCCATCGAGGCATCCCTTTTTTTGGGGTGGGGGCAGTTCCCATCCTTCTTTTTTATGGCATTTCCCATCAGAGCATCCCTTTTATTTTATATATATTAAATTTGTGTGTGTATATATATTTATAGATATCATTATATTTAAACATATATATTAGACATCAGTTCCCCTGCAACCCCAGCCGGGCGGGGAGAGCCCCAGGCACATTCCGGGACCTGCCCCACCTTGGCAGCTCCTCCCGTGGCCTTTCCCGTTTCCCAGAGTGCGGAGGGAAGAACTTCCACGTGGTGCACAGCTCTGCGGACGTGGGCAGCGCCGTGAACGGGAGCCTGCGCTCGGCCTTCGAGTTCGGCGGGCAGAAATGCTCCGCCTGCTCCCGGCTCTACGCGCCGGCCGCGCTCTGGCCCCACATCAAAGAGAAGCTGCTGGAGGAGCACGGGAAGATCAAAGTGGGAGATGTGAGCCGAGCTGCCGGGCTGCTGAAGGGCTTTGCGGCTCAGCGGGAGGCTGATGGGATTAGGGGCTGCGGGAACTGGCTGCTAATTCCCATTGAACCGAGCTTTTCATCCCCGGCCGCCCCGCCGCTCCTGGCCCTGATTAGAAATTAACTTGTAGCCGCTCTGCGGGGAGGGCTGGGCCGGCTCTTCCCGGAGAACCGGAGCTCCCGGGACACGGGGAAGGGGTTTTGGGGGAGTTGCAGCTGCCCCTGGTCCTGAGGGATCTCTGGGGTGCTCTCATCCCCTCCTTTCTGCCTCCCGCAGCCCACCCAGGACTTTGGGACGTTCTTCTCGGCCGTGATCGATGACAAGGTGAGCCCAGAGCAGCCCCGGGCTGGGTTGGCTGCTCGGGTGCGGACAGGGATCAGCTGAGCGCTGTGTGCCCTGCTTGTGAAAATTCAGGAATTTCTCTCAGAAGCTTGTCCTGGCAGTGAGAGTTTTGTGTGCGTCCCCTGCTCCCCCTCCTCCTCCTGAGCCGGGAGGGCACCGAGGCCAGCATGTCCTGAGAGGAGTGACCCAGACCCCCAAACCTCCTTTCAGACCCTTAAACCTCCTTTTATACCCCCAAACTTCCTTCCAGACCCCCCAAACCCACTCATTCCCTGTCATCCCGGACCCTCTTTTCAGACCCCCAAACCCCCTTCCACACCTCCAAACTACCTTCCACACCCCCAAATGCCCTTTTAAACCCCCAAACCTCCTTGCAGACCCTCAAACTCCCTCTTTTCTTGTCATCCCTGACCCGAACCCCTCCTTTTAAAACCCTAAACCCCCCTTCCAGACCCCAGACCCTCTCATTTCCTGTCACTCCTAACCCAAACCCTCTTCCAGACCCCAAACCCCCCTTCTGAGCCCCCAGCCCCCAAACCCCAGACTGATGTCCTGTCCCCCTGTGTCCCCAGTCCTTTGCCAGGATCAAGGGGTGGCTGCAGCACGCCCACAGCTCCCCAAACCTGACGGTGCTGGCGGGCGGCGGCTGCGACGACAGCGTGGGCTACTTCGTGGAGCCCTGCATCGTGGAGAGCAGGGACCCCCGGGACCCCATCATGAGAGAGGTGGGTGGGGACCCCAGCCCCTGCAGGGACCCCCGGGACCCCATCATGAGAGAGGTGGGTGGGGACCCCAACCCCTGCAGGGACCCCTGGGACCCCACCCCAAATCCCTGTGGGGACACCCTGGGACCCCATCCCAAATCCCTGTGGGACCCCATCCCAAACCCCTGCAGGGACCTCCAGGATCCCATCATGAGAGAGGTGGGTGGGGACCCCACCCCAAACCCCTGCAGGGATCCCTGTGGGACTCCATCCCAAATCCCTGTGGGACCCTATCCCAAATCCCTGCAGGGATCCCTGGGACCCCATCATGAGGGAGGTGTGGGGTGACCCCATCCCTATGGGGCAACCTGGGAACCAATCCCAAATCCCTGTGGGACCCCCAGGACCCCATCATGAGAGAGGTGTAGGGAATCCCCATCCCAAATCCCTGTGGGATCCCATCATGAAAGAGGTGTGGGGTGATCCCCACCCCAAATTCTGGCACGGACCCCATCATGAGAGAGGTGTAGGGAATCCCCATCCCAAATCCCTGTGGGACCCCATCATGAGGGAGGGGTGGGTTCCCACCCCAAATCCCAGCTCTGGGGAGGGTTCCACAGGAATGGGTTCCTGCACTGGGATCGGGCTGGTTCCTGGGCTGATCCTGGGCTTTGGGCTGAGATTTCGGGAGATTTTGGGGCCACTCTGGGAGAGTTTGGGGTTGATCCTCACAGGGTGTGTAGTTTTTTGGCTCACAGAAGATTTTTGGGCTGATCCTCATGGTCTGTGCTGGTTTTTGGGCTCACAGGAGATTTCTGGGCTGATTGTGATGGGTTTTGATATTTTTGGGGCCAATCCTCTTGGTGTGTGGGATTCTTTGGGCTCACTGGAATTTTTTGGGACCATCCTCCCTCTGTGTGTTGCTTTTTGGGCTCACAGAAGATTTTGGGGCCAATCCTGATGGGGTGTGTTGGTTTTTGGGGCCGATCCTCATGGGATTTACCCCATGGGATGTGTTATTTGCAATGCACAGGAGATTTTGGGCCTGCTCTTCATTGTTTTTTGGGCTCCCAGGGGATTTTGGAGCCAATCCTCACAGGTTTTGTTATTTTTTGAGGCTGATCCTCATGGTTTGTGTCATTCTTTGGGTTCACAGGCAGTTTTTGGGCCAGTCCTGACGGGGTGTGTTGGTTTTGGGGCTGATCCTTGTGGGATGCGTTGTTCTTTGGGCTGCACAGGAGATTTTTGGGCTGTAAGGGAAATTTTGGGGCGTGCTGTTTTTTTGGGGTGATCCTGACTGTGTGTGATGGTTTTTGGGGCTGATCCTCCTCATTTGTGTCATTCTTTGGGCTCCAGGAGATTTTGGGGCCAATTCTGATGGTTTGTATGGGTTTTTTGGGGCTGATCCTGATGGTTTGTGGTACTTTCTAGGCTCCAGGAGATTTTTGGCCAGATTCTGGTTTTGGGGCCAATCCTGACAGTTTTTATGGTTTTTTGGGCCCATCCTGATGGTTTGTATTGTTTTTTGGGGTCAATCCTGATGGAGATTTTGGGTTTGTGGTACTTTCTGGGCTCCCAGGGGATTTTGGGGCTGATCCTAATGGGGGGGTGTGGGTTTTTTTGGGGTCAGACCTGACAGTTTGTGTCGGCTTTTTGGGGTTGATCTTCATGGTGTGTGTGGGTTTTTTGGAGTTGATCCTGACAGTTTGTGTCGGTCTTTGGGCTCCCAGGAGATTTTGGGGCTGATCCTGATGGAGGATGTGGGTTTTTCTGGGCTGATCCTCATGGTTTTTATGGGTTTTTGGGGCTGATCCTGATGTTTTGTGGTATTTTCTGCATTCCCAGGAGATTTTGGGGTCAATCCTCATGGTTTGTATCGGTTTTTTGGGGTCACTCCTGACAGTTTGTGTCATTCCTGGGCTCCCAGGAGATTTTGGGGCTGATCCTGATGGTTTTTGGTACTTTCTGAGCTCCAGCAGATTTTGGGGCCAATCCTGATGTGTTTTTTTTGGTTTTTTGGGGCCAATCCTGATGGTTTGTGTGGTTTTTTTGGGGCTGATCCTTATAGTTTGTGGTAATTTCTAGACTCCAGGAGATTTTTGGCCAGATTCTGACAGGGTGTGGAGGTTTTGGGGCCGATCCTGATGGTTTTTATGGGTTTTTGGGGCAGATCCTGACAGTTTGTGGTACTTTCTGCATCCCCAGGAGGTTTTGGGGCCAATCCTTATGATCTGTATGGTTTTTTGGGGCTGCTCCAGGTAGTTTTTGGTGTTTCCTGCCTGCCCAGGAGATTTTCAGGCCAATCCTGGCAGTGTGTTTGGGTTTTTGGGGCCGATCCTCATGGTTTGTGTCGTTCTTTGGGCTCCCAGGAGATTTTCAGGCCAATCCTGATGGTTTGTATGGGTTTTTTGGGGTCGATCCTGACAGTTTCTGTCATTCTTTGGGCTCCAGGAGATTTTTGGAGCCAGTCCTGATGGTGTGTGATGGTTTTTGGGGCCGATCCTGGCAGTCTGTGGGATTTTCTGAACTCCTAAGAAGTGTTTGGGCTGATCCTTATGGAGTGTGTGGATTTTTGGGGCCTATCCTGCTGGTTTGTGGTGCTTCCTGCATCCCCATGAGATTTTTTGGGCCCATCCTGACAGTGTGTGTTGCTTTTTGGGGTCGATCCTCATGGCTTGTGTCGTGCTTTGGGCTCCAGGAGATTTTGGGACCCATCCTGACAGGGTGTGTGGGTTCTTTGGGGTCAGTTCTGGTGGTTTGTGGTGTTTCCTGCCTGCCCAGGAGATTTTGGGGCCCATCCTGACGGGGTGTGGGGGTTTTTGGGGCTGGTCCTCATGGTTTGAGTTAATTTCTGCATACCCAGGAGATTGCAGGCTCATCCTGACAGTTTGTATGGGTTTTTTTGGGGTGTATCCTGACGGTTTTTGGTACTTTCTGCATCCCCAGGAGATTTTGGGGCCCATTCTGACAGGGTGTGGGGGTTTTTGGGGCCAATCCTGCTGGGTTTTATGGGGTGGATCCTGACGATTTTTGGTACTTTCTGCATCCCCAGGAGATTTTGGGGCCCATCCTGACAGGGTGTGTGAGTTTTGGGGCCCATCCTTATGGAGTCTGTGGGTTTTTGAGGCTGATCCTGACGGTTTGTGGTGTTTCCTGCATTCCCAGGAGATTTTTGGGCCCATCCCGACAGTGTGTGAGGGTTTTCTGGGGCAAATCCTGATGGTTTGTATGGGTTTTTTGGGGCGGATCCTGACGGTTTGTGGTCCTTTCTGCATGACCAGGAGATTTTGGGACCCATCCTGATGACGTGTTTGGGTCTTTTGGGGCCAGTCCTGACAGTTTGTGGTGTTTCCTGCATCCCCAGGAGATTTTCAGGCCCATCCTGACGGGGTGTATGGGTTTTTTGGGTTGATCCCTGACAGTTTGTGGTGTTTCCTGCCTGCCCAGGAGATTTTGGGGCCCATCCCGACAGGGTGTGTGGGTTCTGGGGCCCATCCTGACGGGGTGTGTGGGTTTTTTGGGGTCAGTCCTGACGGTTTGTGGTGTTTGCTCCTGCCCAGGAGATCTTCGGGCCCATCCTGACGGTGTTCGTGTACCCCGAGCATCGCTACCGGGAGGTGCTGGAGCTCATCGACACCACCACCCCCTACGGCCTCACGGGGGCGATCTTCGCCCAGGATAAGTGAGTCCCAAAACTCCCTAAAATTCCCCCAAAAAGCAGCTGGGGGTGCTTTTCCCATCGGGACTGAGCCACGGATCTTCCTCCTTCCTTCCTTCCTTCCAAGAGCGTTTCCCACCACGCTGGTGCTGCTTTTGCTGCTCCTCCTCTGAGGAAGGAAAGGGATGGTTTGGAAGTTTAGATCAATTAGGTTTTTTTTGGGTTTCTTAGCTCAAAAAAGCATTTTTTCAGTGAGGAATTATCCCAAAGGAATGTTTGGAGCACGTGGGGGGTGATCCCCCAGCCCACTCAGCAGGAGGAGGGCAAAGAGTGGTGTAACCTCAGAGAGAATGACCCAAAATTGTCACAGAATTGTGGGCTGGTTTGGGCTGGAGGGACCTCAGAGCTGATCCAGGGCCACCCCTGGCAGGGCAGGGACACTTCCCGCTGTCCCAGGGTACTCCCAGCCCTGTCCAGCCTGGCCTGGGACACTGCCAGGGATGGGGCAGCCACATTTCCATGGATAACGAGTGATAACGACCTTCATTTTATCACCATGAAATGTAAACAGAGAAAGGAACTGGAAAAAAAAAGCCCCAAAGCAGCAAAAATGCAGTGGCTGTGTGTGTGAAACCCCTGAGGCCTGGAACTGAACATGAGGGGACCCAAACTCCCCTGGAGGGGACACAAACCCCTCTGGAGGGGACACATGCTCCCCTGGAGGGGACCCAAGCCCCTCTGGAAGGGACACAGACTCCCCTGGAGGGGACACAAACCCCTCTGGAGGGGACACAGACTCCCCTGGAGGGGACACAAACCCCTCTGGAAGGGACACAAACCCCTCTGGAGGGGACCCAAGCCCCTCTTTGCCCAGTCAGGTGGCTCTGCAGCCCTGGGCAGTGCTCAGGCTGTCCCTGTCTCTGTCCCTGCCCAGGGCTGTCATCGAGGAGTCCCTGAGGCTGCTGCGCCACTCCGCCGGCAACTTCTACATCAACGACAAATCCACGGGGGCCGTGGTGGCCCAGCAGCCCTTCGGGGGCTCCCGCATCTCAGGTGACAGCAGGGCTGCTGGCCAGGCCCTGCCCAGCTCCCCTCTGTGTCCCTCCTGTGCTCCTTGTCCCCATCCTTCTGTCTCTCCTGTCCCTGCCATCCTCCATATCCTTCCATGTGCTCCATGTCCCCATCCTGTGTCCTTCCCATCCTCCATATTTCTCTGTATCCCTTCTGTCCCTGTGCATCCCTCCTGTCCCTCCATGTCCCCATCCTCCTGTGTCCCTCCTGTCCCTCCTTGTCCCCATCCCTGCATGTCCCTCCTCTCCTTCCCATCCCTTGTGTCCCCTGTGTCCCTCCCATACTCTGTGTCCTTCCCATCCCTCCATGTCCCTCCATGTCTCTCCCATTCCTTGTGTCCTGTGTCCCTCTCATCTTCCATGTCCCTCCTGTCCTCCTTGTCCTTCCATGTCCCTCCTTGTCCCCTGTGTCCCTCTCATCCTTCCTTGTCCCTCCTGTACCTCCTGTCCTTCGGTGTCCCTCCCATCCCTCCATGTCCCTCCTGTGCCCTGTGTCCCTCCATGTCCCCATCCCTCCATGTCCCTCCTGTCCCTCCCGTCCCTCCGTGTCCCTCGTGGTGTCACCAGCCCTGTCTGCTGTCCCCCTCAGGCACCAATGACAAGCCCGGTGGTCCCCACTACCTGCTGCGCTGGACGTCCCCGCAGGCCATCAAGGAGACCCACGTGCCCCTGGGGGACTGGCGCTACGCCTACATGCAGTGACCCTGGGGACAGCCAGCCCGGGGACAGCTGCCACCCCACAGCACTTACACTACTGATCCCTAACGTCCCTCCTGTGCTCCTTGTCCCCATCCTTCTGTCTCTCCTGTCCCTGCCATCCTCCATGTCCTTCCATGTCCCTCCTGTCCCTCTTGTGCTCCTTGTCCCTCTCCTGTGTCCCTCCCATCCCTCCATGTCCTTCCCATCCTCTGTATTTCTCTGTATCCCTTCTGTCCCTGTGCATCCCTCCTGTCCCTCCATGTCCCCATCCTCCTGTGTCCCTCCTGTCCCTCCTTGTCCCCATCCCTGCATGTCCCTCCTCTCCTTCCCATCCCTTGTGTCCCCTGTGTCCCTCCCATACTCTGTGTCCTTCCCATCCCTCCATGTCCCTCCATGTCTCTCCCATTCCTTGTGTCCTGTGTCCCTCTCATCTTCCATGTCCCTCCTGTCCTCCTTGTCCTTCCATGTCCCTCCTTGTCCCCTGTGTCCCTCTCATCCTTCCTTGTCCCTCCTGTACCTCCTGTCCTTCGGTGTCCCTCCCATCCCTCCATGTCCCTCCTGTGCCCTGTGTCCCTCCATGTCCCCATCCCTCCATGTCCCTCCTGTCCCTCCCGTCCCTCCGTGTCCCTCGTGGTGTCACCAGCCCTGTCTGCTGTCCCCCTCAGGCACCAATGACAAGCCCGGTGGTCCCCACTACCTGCTGCGCTGGACGTCCCCGCAGGCCATCAAGGAGACCCACGTGCCCCTGGGGGACTGGCGCTACGCCTACATGCAGTGACCCTGGGGACAGCCAGCCCGGGGACAGCTGCCACCCCACAGCACTTACACTACTGATCCCTAACCCCGCTCCTGGGAGTCATTTAAAAAAAAAAAAACCTAAAAAAAAAGCGTTCAATGGTAAAGCTCGGAGCTCCTCGTGGTGTCCTCGCTCATGTGGCACTTGGGGACATGATGGTGTGGCAGTGGTTGGATTTGGTGGCTTTAAAGGTCTTTTCCAACCTCAGTGATTCTGTGTGCGCATGCTTAATTAGGTCAGTTATTAATTAAGGGGTGGCTGCAGAGGCACAGCTGGACCCAGCTCCCTTTTCCTCCCGGTTCTCCCATGCCCAGGGCGGTTCCCTCTCCCCGGGGCTGAGATCTGTCCCTGTCACCTGTACCAAGCCATGTCCCTCCCTGTCCCCAGCAGCCCAAATCCCTGGGTGTGCAGGGCAGCCAGGCTGGTTCTGTCCCCTGAGCTGGGCTTTGTCCCCAGCCTGAGCCCCCTCACCGGGCTGGGCAGGAGCTGGGGCCAGGAGAGGGCAGCTCTGGTGCTGCCTGGAATGAGCCCCAGTGCCTTATCCCATCCCCATTCCCATCCCCATTCCCAACCCCATCCCAGCCCCCAGACCCTTGGCTCTCCCAGCTGGGCTCAGGCTGGGCCAGGGCAGCAGCAGCCCCCCCTTTGTGCCTGGCTTTGCCTCTGGGGCCGAGGCCGGGCTGGCCCTGCTGCTCCCATCCCTGTCTGTGCCCTGGCAGGACTGGGGGAGCTGCTGGGATCTGAGGGATCAGGGAATGTCCTGCTCCAGCTGCCTGGGGGGGACCCTTCCTGCACCCCCCGAGAGGGGCAGGAGCTGCAGGGGCTGCAGGGGCTGCAGGAGCTGCAGCCTTCCCACCCTGGGAGCCGCTGTCCCACCCGACCCTGCACCCCCCGAGAGGGGCAGGGGCTGCAGGGGCTGCAGGAGCTGCAGCCTTCCCACCCTGGGAGCCGCTGTCCCACCCGAGCCCAGCCCCAGGGCTCTGCCAGCTGCCAAGACTAGGCCTTAAACCAGGAGTTAAAATTAAACCAGGCCTTAAACCAGGAAATAAATCAGGCCTTAAACCAGGAGTTAAAATTAAAGAGGCCTTAAACTAGGAGATAAACCAGGTGTTAAGCCAGGAGTTAAAATTAAATCAGGAGTAAAATCGGGACTTAAGATTAAACCAGGCCTTAAACCAGGAGATAAACCAGGCCTTAAATGAGGAGTTGTTAAGCCAGGCCTGACCCTGGGCTCTCCCCCAGCCAGGGCTCGGGGTGGGAGCTGCAGTGTGAATGGGAGAAGGGATCTGGAGCACACGGCCCTGCTCCTGCAGCTCAGCTCTAATCACAGATGGGTTTGTTTCTAACCCCTAGGATTAATTACTGCTCAATTAGCTGCTCAATTAACAGCGTTTGCAGGGCTGCAGCCCTGGCAGGTGAGCCCTGGCTGTTGGGGGCAGTGGTGGCACTGCCCCTGTGCAGGGCAGGCAGGAGTGGCTGGAGCTCCTCTGCATCCTGGCTCAGCTGGAAAAACGTGCAATAAATTAATTTTCAAGCCTCTTTGCGTTGATTTATGAGTGATTTCTCCGGGTTGCTGTCAGATAAAGAGCGAGGGTGGCTCGGCGCTGGGGACCTTCCAATAAAACCAACCCAACTTTACATTTTCTGCTGAAATGGGGTTCCCCTGCTTGGGGAGAGGCAGGAAAAGGAGGGGCCTCGTTCAGAATCCCGGGATGGTTTGGGTGGGAAGGGACCTCAGATCCCACCCAGTGCCCCCCTGCCACGGCAGGGACACCTTCCACTGTCCCAGGTGCTCCCAGCCCTGTCCAGCCTGTCCTTGGACACTGCCAGGGATCCAGGGGCAGCCACAGCTGCTCTGGGTACCTGTGCCAGGGCCTGCCCACCTTCCAGGGAACAATTCCTGCCCAAAATCCCATCCCACCCTGCTCCCTTTCAGCTTTAACCATCCCCCTTGTCCTCCTGGCTGCTACTCCAAATCTGGGTACAGCCTGCTGGGGGGGCACGAGGGAGCCCAGCCCTGCCCCAAACCCCGGCAGGGAGGGGAAAACCCCAAATTCTCAGCAGGCAGGAAGAGAGAACTCCAAACCACAGCAGGGTGGAGAGAGTGTCCCAAATCCACCCCAAACCCCAGAAGGGAGAACCCCAAGCCCCGTGAGGGAGGAGAGAACCCCAAACCCCTGTCAGGGAGGAAAGAACCACAAACCCCGAGGGGGAGAACACCCCAAATCCTCAGCAGGCAGCAGAGAACCCCAAACCTACCCCAAACCCCAGCAGGGAGGAGAGAGAGCCCCAAACCCGGCAGGGAGGAGAGAGAACCCCAAATCCACCCCAAACCCCGGAAGGGAGAGCCCCAAACCCACCCCAAACCCCAGCAGGGAGGACAGAGCCCTGCCCTGACTGCCGGGATTGTCCCCAAACCATCACCCAGGTGGGGCCACAGCGCTGTCCCCTCCAGCCCTGTCACCTCCTGTCACCCAGTTTGGGACAAGCGGCCCCAAACGCCCCCCTGGCCCCCCACGGCCCCCCCCGGCCTCCAACGCCTGTCACGCCTCAGGGCCGAGTGTCAAGTGGATTTTTGAGCCTTAACTCCGAATTTCATGGCTTTTGTGGCTCCAAGTCGGGCCCCTAATGCCATTTAAACCTTGGCTTTCCCAAGCTGATAAACACCCGGGAAGGTGTGGGGAGAGCGGGGAGCCTCCTGCCCCCCTGGCTGGGGAAAAGGGGCCTGGGGGGCTTGGGGGGCTCTGCGTGACCCCAAAAATGAGCAGCAACAGCTCTGGAGTGCCCGGCAGAGCTCCGGTCCCGTTCCCTGGCTCTCGGCATTCCCGGGCACACCCCGGAGCCGGGAGCAGGGCGGGAGGATGAGCCAGGCTCCGGCTGGGAAGGGGCAGGTGCTCCCTGGAAAAATGGCAGCTTTTCCCCGGAAAACTGGCAAATTTTCCCAGGAAAGGTGGCAGATTTTCCCTGGATGAGGGGCAGGTTTTCCCTGGGTGAGTAAGGGAGGTTTTTCCCGGGACAAAGGGCAGGTTTTCCCGGGATAACCCGGGCTCCCGCCAGGGGATCATTGGCCGATCCAGCCCCGCCTCGGGAGCGGCCGGGCCGGGCCAGGGGCGGATCCCAAACCCTTCCCGGCCATCCCGGGATAACGGAACCCCGGAGCAGCGCGGGGAGCGAGGCACCAACGGCGGGGAGAGCCAGAGCCTGGGGGAGGACGGGGGAACGAGGAGGGATGAGCTGGGGATCCTTGTGGGGTGAACTGGGAATCTGTGTGGGATGAGCTGGGAGAGGAGGAGGAGGAGGAGGAGGAGGCTCTGCCCGGGAGAGAAGCACAGGATCAGCCCCTGCTGCCCTGCACTGAGAAGGGAGGAGTCTTCTTCCTGGGCAATTAAAAATTAAAAAACAAACAAACAAACAAACAAACAAAAACAAACAAAAAAAACCCCCACAACAACAACAGCAACAACAACAACAACAAAACCCAAAAAAAAAACCCCAAACCCAGAAAAAAAACAAACCTTAAAAAAACCTAAAAAGCAAAACAAACAAACAAACAAAAAAAAACCAAAAAGAAAGCCACAAAAAAATCCCAAAACCACCACCACCACCACAAAAAGATAAACAAAAACCACCAAAAAACCAAACCACAAAAAAACACAAAGAAAAAAAAAAACCCAAACAACAAAAACCCCACAAAAAACAAACAAGAAAAGCCCACAAAAAATTCCACAAAACAAAACCAAAAACAACTCAAACAAAAACTCTAACAAAAAAATCCCACAACAAAACTCGCCCCCTCCAAGCCCTTTAAAATTACATTTAAATTTATTTTTTATTTTTACTTTTTAAATTCAAATTGCCTGGATTGCCCCAAAAGAGAAAACAACAATCACTGCAATTTCTGCCCTACTGCTGTTCAGACAGCGTTCACCTGTTTGACTTTCTTAAATTCTATTTTTTCCAGGGAAATATTTAACTTAAAGGGGAAATCCTGCAGCTCAGACCGGGCCATGGGGCTGGAAACCCCAGGGATGTGGGGACCACCCTGGGCACAGGACATGGACACCCAACCACGGGGGGAGAGGGGGGTCCCCGATGGGACAGGGTGATCTCCTCGATGGGACAGGCGGTGTCCCTGATGGCTTTTGGCTGAGGGGGGCTCAGAGGAGACCCCTGAGGGGTCAATAAATGAGCTCTAAATCCCTGCCCTGGCAGCAGAGGCACTCAGAGGGAAATTTGGGGACAGCGCTCTAAATTTGGGGTTTTTTCTGGGAAATTTTTTCTTCCCGTGTTCCGGGGCAGGGCGGGGTCCCTGCAGAGCTCCTCGGGGGCCGGCAGCCCCTCCTGCAGCCTGGTGACCCCCCCTTCCCACAAACTGCTTTGGGGGGACCTCCAGGGCTCCCTCTTCTCCCGGCCTGCCTGATTTCCTCCTAAAAATCCCAAATCCGGCGGCCTGGGGTGGATTCCCGGTGTTCCCTCCCCCCACGGCTGGCTGTGCCCGGTGCTGGTGCCGTGGCGGGGTCACACTCCCCCCAGGGGGACAATTCCCGGCGCTGGGAGCCGCAGTTTCCCCTCATTTCCCAAGCAGAGGCTGGAAAATGTCCCGGCACAGGTGGGGAGGAGGTTTGGGATGCGGGAAGGGCCGGGCTGAGGGGAAAAGGGAATATTCCAGAGGATGCGGGATGAGGAACATCCCACAGGATTCAGCATGAGGAACATCCCACAGGATTCAGGATGAGGAACATCCCAGAGGATGCGGGATGAGGAACATCCTACAGGATTCGGGATGAGGAACATCCCAGAGGATTCAGCATGAGGAACATCCCACAGGATTCAGGATGAGGAACATCCCACAGGAATCGGGATGAGGAACATCCCAGAGGATGCGGGATGAGGAACATCCCACAGGAATCGGGAAAAAGGGAATATCCCACAGGATGCAGCTCCCGCTGTCGGGAGCGGGCAGCGGGGCACGGCCGAGGGGCACGGAGTGAGATCCCCCAAAAAACATCTCCCCATCCATCCCTTCCTCCCTTCCCAGTGCTGGCAGGGATTGCTGGGAGCAGCCCAAAAATCCTTCCCGTGCCTTCCCGTGTTTCCATCCCCGAATAAAAGGATGATGAGGAGGAAAGAGCCACGGGAGGGAGAGCGGGCTCAGCACAGGGAAAAACGCGGCGCGGGCAGAGCCAGGAACCCGGAGCGTCATCCCG